TTTCATCTTCCATCACACCTATGGGCTGCCGAAGCTTAGCTAGGCTTTTAAAACCATCATGAAATGAAAAGGACAACTTCACTTTTTTTTCATAATGATCTCAGTAAATCAGCCTTGTGAATAGAAGCCATTTGATCCGGTTCATCCTGGGAGTGTCTCGCTGGTCAACCCTGGAGAGAACGGACTTAACGTCAGTGTTCAGTGAAAGAAAAAATGTTTAATGGAAGTGCACATTAATTCATGAACATCGTTTAACTTCACCTGTTAGATCATGTCGTAGACGGTCGGCTTCCAGACAAATCTCTGACAGTAGAAGTAAGTCTGTAGGTAAAGAAGATGAGGTTTGGATGTTGTGGATAATAATAATAATTATAATAATAATTATACACATTTCCATGTGTTAGCACTTACTCCACACTTGAGGGCAGTCCTGGTGTCTCTGCATCTGTACGTTGCCAAAGTGCAGGCGTTGGGCACTGAGAAATCACATCAATCATTTATCACTAATCGATTGATTGATGGTGACAGACAAGACTCATCGGCCAAACTGTAGATGTGCGTTAGAGTTAGCTAGAAGAAACTAGCATGCTACAATAGCCACACACACAAAAAAAATTCCTAAGAAACTAACTTAGCCAATTAGCCAAAACATAAACACTAAAACTTACAGTAAAAATACTGAATGGAAAAGGTGTCCGAAAATGAAACGTTCCTCATATGTTAGCAAGCTAGCAATATTAGCCTTGAAATAACGAAAAAAATAACGCCAAGAGATACAAATCTAAAGGTTAGTGTAACTTTGTTTTTCACATTAGCTTTTGTATAACGTGCAGTAAAAACATTTCACATTCAGCCTTTACATGAGTAAACGGTAAATATATAGTCAAATAATTTGAGTGACTGTTAGCAGTCGGACTGACCTGCTGGAACAACGTCCGATTTCATGCACATACGAATTAATTCACAGATGGTTTTAGGATTAAAGTTGCTCAGGACGGCGTCCACCACAGACCTCGTGATCGTGTCTGTGAAGGTAATACACGTGTGTTGGAAGACGGGGGGCAGGAAACAACAGAGTTTCTTCAACAGACAGATCACTGCGTCCTGGGGTGAAAACAAAAATGAAAAGATCAGAACAAACGACCTGCCGTATGAGTTCCTGGAACCAGCATTCTGCAAACGATCCCCTGATTAATAGAATGAGCTGCAATGCTGCCATCTAGTGGCTTTCATTTTCACAGCCGTTTTTCCCTTAAAACTATTTTTAGGTCACATCATCATCTGGTGAAACCCAGACATTGCGTTATCGGGTCATCATTATCAGAGGGGAAAAAAAAAGATTTTAACAGTTATTACATAATGATGCTAATATCGGGCCAATAATATCAGACCTCCCTGTAGGTAACGCTTTTTTTTCTTTTGTTTTTTTAAATAACATGCCGATGTGACAGTGAAGCTCTGTCTCAAACTTAAGGCCGGGGGGCCAAATGCAGCCCGCAAAGTCACGTTGTATGGCCCGCAGGAGTTTTTTTAACCCGACTCCGGCCGGCAACTGGATTCCAAAATTGTGAACGATTTCAGTGGAACAAACATGTCTGGGTTTCACAACAAACGCAGCTGTTTCTCATGGATGGCTAACGAGCGGCGGCGTTAGTCGTTGGCTCCGTGCTGTTTGTTCTGATCTAAAATAAACCTCCTGGTTTCTGTTACTCAGTACATAAAGTGTACACACGAAGGCGATAAAGGGGTCATATTTGCAGTTGAACATTGTGTAAGTTCTGGGTCAGACGCGGGGCAGCAGTGGGAAGGTCCTCGTTGTGGTCCGGTGGATTTTACAAATGCCTACGTGCAGTGTCTGAGACTCACCTCCACCTTGTCCTTGGGCAGCAGCATGTTGATCTTCTGGACGATGAAACGGCAGATGCTACACTTTGTGGTGAGGTGTCCCTGTGAAAGGGCCAGGCCTTCAGTCAACTGTGACAACAACAACAACAACAACAGCCGTGTTCTTCTTCACTTACGTCTCTGCTCCTCTCGGCAGCCTGACGCGCCACCTCCACTAAGAAGCCCATGATCTGGTCCTGTTCTTCAGAGGAGCTGCAGACTCCCAGGATCTCACAGGCCTTCTCTGGGTTCTGCACAGAATTACAGCAGAGACTCAGTTTAACGCAGTGGGGCGGGCCCCCCAGGGGGGGGCACTGTAAGGTCTCCAAGGAATATGGCAGACTGGCCGTAAGTGACCACTGCTGTAATGCTTGGATGATAAGAAGCCTCCAGTCACTAGGTGGCAGCAACTCGTACAGTGGTTTTTAAAGATAAAAATATACGCGTTATCACCTGAACTTGAACTTGAACTTGAACTCACCAGAAGATTAGTAAAGACGTGGATGGACACTGGGAGCAGGGTGTTCGCTCCTTGTTTGCAGAATAAGACGACCTTCTCAGGCAGTTGGTCACACAGGAAGTCAGCGTCCTGGAGCATTTTTCTCTACAAAAAACACAAATTTCAGCATTTTCATCCACAATTTCTGATTTTAAACGTAATAAATATAAAAAAAAATCTCCTGTCGAAGTCAGTCTGAAACTGACGGGTGTCAAAAGTCACAGGAAATAAAGTTGACTTATGGATGAAGGTCGCAGCGGTCCAAGAACCCACGTGAGAGTTGGTCAAAATGTTCTCAGACAAAAAAATATATATATTTTGAATTTTTTGAACAAATTTTTTTCTGATTACATCTTTTTCTGACTCGTCCTCTTCTGTTCTGAGTTCTAGACAATGTCTTTGACACCGGGTCAAAACCTGGAGAACTGAAACGCATTACTTCAAAAAAAAAAAAAGTTAATCATTTTTAACAGCGTGATGTTGGCTGTGATTTCAGTTTTAAGTAGGAATGTCCGATACGAACTTTTTGCCGATATCCGATATGTCGATATTGTCCAAACACTAAATTTCCGATTCCGATATCAATCAGTACTGATATAGCGGAGCAGTGGTGCCCTGGTGGTTAAGGAAGTGAAGTGTCACCTGTGATGGGTTAAAGCAGTGAGTTTCTGGCACCAACATTCTGCGTTCAATCCCCTGATTATTATGATGAATTAATAAATTAAGCTGCAATGCTGCCATCTAGAGACATTCACTCTCATATGCAGCCGTTTTTCCCCAAAACTACTTTTTAGTTCACACGTCATTTGGCGAAACCCAGACATTGTGTTATTGGGTTTTAATTATTGGAGGGAAAAAAAAGACAACTCTTCTTACAGATATTACATAATGATGCTAATATCGGGGCGATAATATCGAACATCCCTAGTTTTAAGGTAAAAAAAAAATCAGGTAAAAATGAAACGTAACTCAACACTTGACAGCGATGTGAAGGTAATGAACTAATCTGCACAGAGTTCCGTTTTCCTAGAAATGAAGTCGGTTTAGCAATGGGAGGTTTTGTTTGTGCAGGTCGGTGTCGGTGTGTGTGTGTGTGTGTGTGTGTGTGTGTGTGTACATGGAGACCAGGTCAAGCAGGTCATCGTCAGGTCAGAAAAGTAACGGTTCCCACATCAGCTTTTGAACAGTGTTGAAGAAAAAGGAAGTGACTTCGCAACAACAACAACAAAAAACCTCACTGTTCCTTTTTGTGGCACCTTTGCCTTTTGCTGCACGACATCAACACCCCCCCCCAGAGTGTGTTTGCTCTTCTGAATGTGCAGGAGTGCAAACACACTCCCAGTAACTGAACTGTGTTGGTGAACTCGTCCGTCAAACTCACCATCATGTCAGGGTCTCCCATCAGATTGACCAGGAGTTCCAGTATCTGGGTGCAGTCCCTGCAGATGTCCCCAGTCTGAGGAGAAGACGTTGTCATTTAAAAACCCGTTGACGAAGGCTTCATGTCAGGATTCATTTGAAGAAGTCGTTGTGGTTTTAACTGGACTCAGAAGTGAAACATGAGCCGGTGGTTGAGCCTCGTTAGAAGCCGCAGTAGAAAAAAAAGCAGATGTTCTCGATGAGACTTCCTCTTTCTAGTCGAATACAAATATCAGTTCTAGAAAGAAATCACTCGTTCACTTTGATATTTCATTGTACGCAATAGTTATTAAAAATAGTTTGTCGATTGAGATCAGAGCTAAAAAAAAACTAACATTCAAATCACCGAGGCGACAGTGTAGGTTCAAAGGTCGACTTTCTCTGATGGAAACAACAGATTAAACACTTAAACAGATGAGGTTTGGTTTTTTTTCACATAAAAATGCATTATTTTTTTTCTCAGAACTTTTTGTCTCACCAAAATACGTCAATCTGTACAGATGGTCTTCCAGTAAATTTAAGTGTTTTTTTTAGGCCCAAGAAAAATACAAATAAAATGACTGTACATTTAACAGGTAATAGTAACAATAAAAAACTATTTTGCAAATGTAGATTGCATTTCTGTAATTGATAACAGGTACATATACTATACTAAATTAAAACTATTGCCGTTTTAATTTTTATGCTGTTTTTATTTATCGACCATCGAATTAGATCAGAGTTAGATTTTAGTTTTCTCTTTTTGTCCCGACGCTGTAGAAATGCGATAAAACACGAAACGACAGTGAAGCTAAATTTGTTTACACTCAACTCACGATGTGAGTCTGTGTGTGTGTGTGTGTGTGTGTGTGCACTTGATGTACACAAATCTAAATATTTATACAGTATATTCAAAAACTTACATGATTGGCACCAGGTGAGGTTTGATCACCAGGTGAGGTTCGATCACCAGGTGAGGTTTGATCACCAGGTGAGGTTTGATCACCAGGTGAGGTTTGCTCAGCTGCAGCTCTCACATCAAACAGAAGCTCCTCCTGTGCTGAAGCCAGACCTGCAGACACGACACGGTCGGTTAGTTTTAGTTTGTTCGTCCCTGCGCTCACCTGGTGAAGCGGCGTCTCGACCCCCGGCGACCTGGTTTGCCTTACAGTAGCCGTGCAGAGCGATGAGGAGCAGCAGCGCGTGGCTGAGAGAATTCATCGTGCCTCGGTGTCGGGACGTCGGTCAGCGATCTGTGAGGCAGCTGCATGTGCAGTGTGTATTTAACACCTGCGGGTGTCACCAAAAAAATGTTGTGGTTTGATAAGATTGTTCACTAATATTAGTGAGGTCACATTCAGTTCCTCAAAGTGAACGTGTGCAGAAGTTTGACACCCCCCCCCCACCCTGGGCCGAGGCCGAGGGAAGGACGCACTTCAACATAGTCGGGACTGTGACCTGTGACCTTTGTCAGCTACTCAACTTCAACTTCTGATGACCTTTGACCTTTTAGACCGAGTACAGGCCTAAAGGATGCTGACTGATGAGGGCAGGTTGGACCTGTGTGTGTGTGTGTGTGTGTGTGACAGGGAAATTGTCTTCAACATTTTTAAAATTACAAAATCAAATTTAAATATAATGAAATAATGTTTAATGTCACATTGATTCATAAATTCTAATCTGATATAATCCAATCACGTTCAAATGATCAGATTCAATCCAGTCCAGAGTTGAATCGTCTGATCTCGTCCCATATGATCTATAGTTTAGTTAATCTGGTCGAATTACACTGTACCAAACCTTGATTGGGATTTGATCCTGATGCAGTATCTGATTGGACCCTCTGATTGGACACTCTGATTGGACACTCTGATTGGACCCTCTGATTGGACCCTCTGATTGGAGACTCTGATTGGACCCTCTGATTGGACCCTCTGATTGGACACTCTGATTGGACACTCTGATTGGACACTCTGATTGGACACTCTGGAAACACAACCCTTAAATGTAATACACTTTTATCTGACCTATTTGAATGGTGTGTTCCAGGTGGGCCGGATGGAACACAGTGACAGCACGTTGTACAAACAGCAGCCAGCAGAGGGAGCTGTTAATGTTAGCGT